CAATGGACTCCGGACTAGGTGCTTTCCTCTAAGTCTTCCTACTAATATGACCAAGTTACGAAAACAAGGTTAAACAACTTCGAAACATCCTCATGTTTGAATGAAAATAGGCCGAGTTTTCGCTTGTGATATGGCTGATATCTTCAGATCTGGATCTCATTATTACCTAAAGTTCATGCTAAAACTAAGTTGAGAAGGCCTGAACGTCTTAAGTAAGACCTACTAATCTATGCACTTTTACATGAACAGAAAGTCATAATAGCAAAGCTTTTGATTCAAACCAATTAACATAGGTTCTATATGCCAGTGCTCCCGATGAGTATTGACAAATATCATGATTTTCTGATCTTCTAATTTTGAATTCAAAATCTTTCAACAAGTACATAATGTCCTTCCTATGTCTGACTAACCGATACAGGTGCGCAAGTACCTTCTATTACTGGATGCTCGTAAGGACCATGTCAAGTACTGGCGACCGCAAATTCTCCTTCTTGTTGCTAATCCCCGATCTGCAGCAACCCTTGTCATGTTTATGAACAGCATGAAGAAGGGCGGCCTATACGTGCTTGGGCATGTGATCCCGGGCTGCTTCAGTGATCACGAGAAAGACCCATGCATTGAGGCTTCCAGGTTTGTTATGTGAATCTCTTTATTTGATTAGCACCATTCAGTAGTCGTCCTTCGTATAGCGACGCTATATCCTTAAATTATTTTTATTTCTTTATAGCTTAATAGCCTGAATTTATTAAGCTGATGTAAATATAACCTTGAAATATGACTTCTCTTGTTTACAGCAAATAAATGTAAAATCACTTATATAACCAAGACAATAGCTGTAATCTATATTTATATATTCACTTGAGATATATGAGCTGTTTCATCTTATCACTCACAAATGTTGAGTAGATTTCGAGGCTACCAGTAGATTAACCTTGTTTTCGCAGCTTGGTCACATTGGTAGAAGACTTAGAGGATTGTATCTTACCCGGAGTCCATTGAATGCATGATTATTTCCAAAGTTGAACCGTGGACATAATACTTTCCCATACGTTTC